TCCAAGACCGTTCCAACCAGAACTACACTCACATCGTTTTAAGTATGAAGCAGGGCCTTTATGTGGCAAAACAGAGCCTGGCGTACGACAGTCAGCAGGTACAGTGAGACCCTGTGCTGCACAAGCTAGCCAAACTACGGTGAGACCCTGTGCTACACAAACCAACCAAAGTGCCGTCTTGTTGGGTGGCTGATTGGTCACGACAAGTCATTTATCCAATTGGTGTCGGGACCCAGCCGCATTGTGGCGGTCCTTACAGGGCCCTCAGTTTCTTAAAGCATGCCACAACTCATCAGGAAGGATATGGTAGGAGTCAGACTGATCTCGTTTGATATAGTGAGCTTCTAGCATGCAAATATCCCCAAGCTTTTAACGTGCTTTAATGATAACATGTGCATGTGCATTTCCATAGCATGCACAGTGAAAGCGTAGTTTTCGCTCTGCCAAGCTGCAGTTTGCATGGTAATTATATACGTCATGAATGCCCCTATAACTTAAAAGATGATTTGGCGGCAATGACGCGCCAGGTTTAACCTTTAGATTAGTTATAAGACACGTGCTTGCGTGGCACCTATATCGTGTACCAGTAAGGCCTCGGTGGTAATTTCGAATTCAAATTATAGGTTATGACAAACGTAGTTTAAGCTAACCGAAAGTAATGCTGCTTAGTACTTGATACCACGTGACGAAAATTTTGCAAAGTTGTGATGTGAAAGCTCATTCACACCGTGAGGACCAACGACGGACTTTGCTGCCGACTAGATGTGATACATTTAAGTCCGTGGGCCCGAGAGCGTGTGTAAAAGAACTAAAATGTGGTTTATCCAGCTCGCATTGGCCGAGGTCTGCAGACTCTGTAGCAGCTTTCACGTTAAGTGTTGTGGGCAGGGGAGGCACCACTGTTGAGTCCTGTTTCCCCATACTTTGCGAGGGCGCAGACTTCAAATTTGCACCTCTAGTCTACAACAGCTGACTGACTACAAAATCAGCAGTTAGTCGGCGGATTCTGCAGGTATCTGTAGCTGTCCGCAAGGTACGAGCGGGCCTGTATATACAGGGAGTGTGCTTAGCTTTATGGTTTTTGAAAAAGACACCCCAGTATGTATTTTGGTGTAGCTTTTTATGCTGGCAGCAATGTAGAGTCCATCTGAGGGTTTTAACAAAGATCGTTCAATTTTTGTCATCCACGGTATCGATGTCTGTATGCGCTATGTGGGTGCTAACCAAGTTCTTTTAGGAGAATAATTGTACTAACCGACGGGACGGAAACGACCAGTACGTGCGAAAACTTACGGCGCATCCAGCACGAACTAAAGCCACTCGAAAACTAATGCTTCCATATCCTGCCACTCACTTAACCTGCGGCAAAAAACGTCACATAACATCGCAGTGACAGAGAAAGTAACGACACGTGTTTCACTTTATGAGCCAGAAAGGTCTTGAGCTCCGTGGTCGAAGACTTTCACGTCAAGCAGGGTCTCTAGCAGCTGGATGTCAATCAGTACAGAAATCTTGACACAGCACGATACGCAGTTACCGTGACCTGAGCAAGTGCTAAGGTGTACCATTGTTATTTTTTTAATTGAACAATTTGGTGTCAATTGTGAGATCCTATTCGGTGTCCGTGATGTGACCTACAGCTGCAATTTGGATGTTGTGGGATGAGCCTTTAGGGAAACCAGATATGCACCAGCGAGAGATTGATAGCATGAAAATAAAGAAGGGATACCATGCTTGTTTAAGACTTGGATGTGATGAAACAAATATAATTTCAATGCTCACATCTGTGTTTTATTTATCTTTGCCAGTGAAGAACTAAGAATGTACAGCTGTGATAATGAAATGCTGTAAAAGTTACAGGCCAGATGTCAAGCTTCGAACCATCATTAGATAACATCGTTGCCAACACGCATGCATTAATGTGCCACTGCTTTAAGTTGACTGCACATAATGCTGCTTGAAATTAAGACCATCTTTTTTTGCTTAAGCCCAGCTTACGAACCTTTACAAATTCAAATATAAGCTACCTATGGCATTCAGTCGTGATCAGAGAACTTAATGCATGCTTTCAATATGCAAAGCGTTTTTTATCATTCAAATGCGGTAAAAGCTTCGAGAAGTGTCTGTTCTTTGCTGGCAAATAACAAAAAACTAATAATCAAATAGAAAAAATTCAACGAACTGGTACGACCCCATAAAGCATAAGAAATCAAGGAAGGGAAGCGATGGGACGCATAAAATTCGTCAACGAATAATTATCCCCTCTGATGATCATGTACGAAATTTTCCAATTGCATTCGGTGGGTCCAGAAATCATTCCCAAGTTTTCTCACGGCTACGGCATACATAATAACTGGGCACAGCTAGAAATGGCGAAGAAAAGATTATCCGTCTTGACCAAGCTTTGAAATTCATTCAAGACTTGCCCTCCGCCTGGAAAATTACCTACGGCTAATCTCTGTGTTCGCAGCGCCAAATGCCATTCCGAAAAAAACAACGCTTCTGAATGATTCTACAAGATTACTTGCCGGCCGAATGCGGCGCGTAATTCAAACTCGCTGTAAAGGAATGCGAGCCGAACGACATACTTATTTAGACCACTGCCCTCGTCTGGTGTGATATATCTGGATGGTACAAACCAACGCACCGGGCGAGGATGACAGTCGGAACAATTATTCCATCTGTGGTACTGAGCCTCTTCTCAATCCTTCGTAAAGACATAAAGAAATACGTTGTTTGCACGATGGCCGCAGTCGGGGTGCTCGAAATTTGCTTTCAGTGCTGACTAAATTCCTTATCAAAAGATTATTCGCTGACACTAACTATACGTCCGCGATAGGAGCGGTGAATTAGTGATGAGAAACGTTTTGGGGTCACCAGATAACTTTGTGGTTCCCCAACAGTAGGGACACTTGAGATCTCTGGTCAATAGAAACGAATTCGTACAAATATATCGATGTATCGATTTACATCGATAACAATCGATGTAAATCAAAATTTCCTACAACCCTATGAGCATAATGAATGTGGCCGTCGTCCAGGCATTTGTAATCACGGACAGCTCTGTGTAACAGCTCCGTAGTTCGCAATGCCCTCTCCTCAGATGATGTCGGACATCGGTGGAAACCTCGGCCTGCTGCTGGGCGCCTCCATCTTCACCCTGTTCGAGATGATCCAGGACGCGGCTCTCCGCTGCTGGCGTCGCCACAGAAGCAGCCCGCGCACGTCAAAGGTCACCGTCCTCCCAACGCTGTTCAGCGAGGGTCCGACCAAGGATCAGCCCGCGGCATGGAGCTCCATATGAGCGCTGCTGACTGGTGTCCGCCCTGACAGGCATGCAACATGGGGAAGGCTCGACCAAAGATCAGCGTCTGGCATGGAGCTCCATATGAGCGCTGCTGACTGGTGTCCGCCCTGACAGGCATGCAACATGGGGAAGGCTCGACCAAGGATCAGCCCGCGGCATGGAGCTCCATATGAGCGCTGCTGACTGGTGTTCGCCCTGACAGGCATGCAACATGGGGAAGGCTCGACCAAGGATCAGCCCGCGGCATGGAGCTCCATATGAGCGCTGCTGACTGGTGTCCGCCCTGACAGGCATGTGGCATGGGGAAGGCTCGACCAAAGATCACCGTCTGGCATGGAGCTCCATATGAGCGCTGCTGACTGGTGTCCGCCCTGACAGGCATGTGAGCGCTGCTGACTGGTGTCCGCCCTGACAGGCATGTGGCATGGGAGGACGAAGAGCTTCTGAGCGCAGCACCTGTAGATTGGTCATTTTGATGTATGCGCATTAAGGCAGATTTTACCTAAATTAGCATCGATCACGGTGTAATGCAAGCTTGCATTGCACGGGGCGCTTGCATTGGAAATACGTTGGTGGCTGTGTGGTAGGTGCGTCCCGAAGCAGACCTGTATCGTTCATTGCATTGCGACCCGCGAGGTGCAAAATGCTCATTTCCCTTTTAGCATGCGGTTACGAACAGTATTGCTTTTCTCAATGTGCACATAACGCACACCAATTATGATGTGTTGTTCGCCTGCATCGTACAAGACACTTGTATTGGTAATATTTGTATTGGAAATATGCCTGGGGTCGTGTGACATGCGTCACTGAGGGAACATGCACTGTGAAATAGTATAACAGCTCGCGAGGCGCAGAATGTATCATTTCCCAGTTTACAGCGGATGTCAACAGAAAAGTATGTCCCCGCGTCTCTGACTTTACCTACAAACGTCGACTACGCCCAACATGCTTTCGCAACGTATTTTGTGCAAGCGTACTCACTCAAGATGAATGCTGCAAATCGTTGACCTTTTCAAAGGGTTAACAAAATCGAATCCATTTCCCAAGGACAGTGATGTTTTTACGAACAACACAGCCTCTCCTTGCAGCTACATCGCTGGGCCCGATATCCGCAGTCACCAGGGGAAGACCTATTCTCCTGACATCTTAGAAATCCAGAAGTTCCCTGAAACTAGCATGTACGTAGGATTATTTGCATTTTCCTTTTTAAGCCCGATGTTTGGGCGTCACCTAGTGTCATCCGGATATGCTAAACTGAAGGACGGTCCCTTTGCATTGAAGACAGCGAATAACAAGATTCTATTTGTGTTAATGCATGGATGAATCATATTGCGGAGCACAGTAGGGGAAAAGCAATGTTGGCAAGCATACCAACCCAAATATGCTTTTCACCCGTTCCATATGCTACGAACAGCAACGGCAAAACGGTTACGAACGGCGACGGCAAACTTCTTTACGTACATCCAGATGGCCGGGCTTGCCTCTCCGGTAAGAATTTCGTAAATACGCCCTGGTTTTGTTTTATGGTATTTATTGTCTCTTACTTTAAAAACAGCATGCTCACGTCACGCGGTAGCGCACAGAGGTTTGGACATTGCAGTAATATAAAACGTCTTATGATGACTGGTGATCGCGGCGCTCCGCAAGCCAGCTCAGCTAAGAGGTCATTGCTAGCTTTTCCCAACACTCGGCATCAACCACCGTGCCGCCAGTTCCTGTAAGTGCCTAAGAAGGGGTAGGCAGGGCTGGGACATTTGAAACCGCGCCACGCCTCCCTGCCGTCCGTGGACTTGGCTGCCACCGGCGTCACCATGTTGTTCCACAGCATCAGTGCCATCAGCTCCTGACCGCTCCGACTCGGGTGGAAACAGTCGACGGCCACGAAGCGCGTGTCCGTGAGGCCGGAGCGAGGCCGGCGCGGAAGGACTGCACCCAGCGTAAACGGCTGCACCACCACGGTGAAGTCGCGGCGCGTGTCATACCGGCCGCTTGCCACCAATCGGGCCAGACTGCGCTGGTAGCCGCGTACCAGGCGGCGCACCTCGCCCTCGGGGAGCCGGTCCGGCCCGGCCAGGCAGGGGCACGCGCTGGGGCGACCGGTCAGCCGCGGCGCGACGCTGTTCAGCAGCCAGCTGGTGAGCAGGCAGGCCGGCTCATCCTGCAGCCGCCGCACGCCGGCCATGTCCACCACCGGCACCAGGTTGACGAAGGTGCGCGGCAGCTGCGCCTGCAGAAGGTCCAGCGCCCGGCGCACGGCGGCGGCGTGGTCGGCCGGCGTTGCGGCCGTCGCGTCGCCGGCCGCGCAGCTCTGGCAGATGTCGTTGCCGCCGATCATGATGGTGACGAGCTTCCAGTGTCGGGCGACATCAATGCGCGGGTGGCGGCGTAGGCGACGCACCAGCCGCGCCGCCTGCGCCGGCAACACCGCCTGACGCGCGCCCGCCTCGGCCAGGTTGAACCCGGCGTTGTGGGGCCCACCGGCGGCACCCACCAGGCCCGGCGAGAAGTGGCGCAGGATGTTTGGCAGCGTGAGTGCGCTGCGCCCGCCGCCGCCAGACCAGGAGGCGCCGCGATAGTCGGTCCCCGGTGCAGACAGCCGACTGGCCCCGGCCGCCCAGCCAGTCGTCACGCTGTCCCCCAGGGCCGCCACAACGCGGATGTCGCCCGGCCGCAGCCGGTGCACGCTGGTGGCCGGATCAGCTGGGTTGGCATGCCCGGCCACACAGTCGGCCACCCGCCAGCTGACCGCAGGTGACGATGCCCGCGGCCGGTGCCCGGTCACCATGGCAACGAGACACGCCGCTACCGCCAGTAGCATGTCGGCGGTAGCAGCGGCGACGAACAAATGGCGGCGGTGCGGGTCGTTTCCGGTTGGAGCGTATGTGGTCGCCGCAGGTCACGTGTTTGGTGCCACCCGATTTCCAGTCCCAAGTTCGTGCCTGCGGTACCTGCTGCTTCGGTGCCCAAGTGACCACTGGCGAGCAAAAACACTGCGCCACTTTTAAAATCACGGCGCGCAATGCGGCGTGCTTGATCCACTCGTCGGGACACTGGCCTACAGGGTAGTCACGCTTTGTTTGGTCGACGGTTACATGGCGCCTCTGGCTCTCAAGACAATCCGAAACTACCAGTTTTACTCTGACCCATTGTGTTCTCCTTGCGGCGTGAGCACCGGTCCAAGCCTGCTGTCGACACGACGGACCGGCAGCCGGTCATGCTCCCGGCAGCGAAAGCCGACTCGGCCAGTTTTTACCATGCCATGAGTCAGTGGTCTGTTTTGCAACGGCGTCGTATTGTTCAACTTGTGGACATTTATGGTTGCGGGGAGACTGGTCGCATACTTGATCAGTGAACACGGTACTCTTTGTATGGGAATGGCCGCGTTTTCTCTCTTCCAATTATGTTATAGCCTCGTCTCAAAGGGGGGCCACACCGGCCGAGCGTTTAAGTCTCGAGCAGACGCCATGAGTGAAGCAAAGCAGCTTTTGAGCAAGGCTGAACAAGAACGAACTTTAGCCTGGGTATATCCTTACACTAAAATGTGTCATCTGCAACCCAGCGCTATAAGCCATGGCCATGGAGACCCTGGAGGCGAGTCACAATGCTGTGAATTGCATGAGATGTTAACCACACCGGTCACCTGCTTGGGAATGGGGAATCCATTTTGGTGTAGCAAGGTTCACTGGCAACAGGTTACCAAGTTAAGCTTATTCTGCGGTTCATAGGAGAAGCCATTTGCAGATAACGGGGGAAAAAAATGAGCAGCCACATAGTCCTCATCGTGATAGCGCTCCTACGCTGACCAACACATGCCGCAACACGCGATAACAAACGCGCCATGGCATCAACATTAACACGCGCCCGGACAGGAACACATATCGGCCTTAACACGCGCTGGTGCAGGAGCACATATCAACTTTTACACGCGCCGGGGCAGGAGCACATATCAGCCCTAACGCGCGCTAGGGTGGCCGGTGGAGTGCGACGCTGCTCGGGTGGGTTGGGCTAATTTTATCCACTGAGATGTCAAAACTTAGAGACAGAGACACCAGATTAACAACTTCAATAGATCTGTATGTAGGCATACTTGTGTTGATTTTTTAGGTCCTTGGGTCATGTCATTTGGGTCAAATGAGATCAAACAAGGTTAAACTCCAGATCGGTGTCCGAAGTTGCCGCAAACCTCCTCATGCAAACCAGATGTGTCTTCTAAGGAAAACTCATATGCTCTTCATTTTAAGCCAGTGACCTTATTGACCTTGAGGAGGACACGGCGAACAAAAGCATTGGAGGTTGTTTAGATTTTGCACTCGAAATAAGCGTCGAGGATTACCCTGTGTGGTATGTTACTAAAAACAAAGGCTGATCATGGTTATTCTAGGTCAGTGACCTTAGTTAGTTTTTTATTTTTAAGGGCCTTCTGACTTAAGTTGTTCAAGTGAATTTGCAAGAAACATTATGCACATAGATAAGGCAATAGTAATAGGCTTATTTCTTGGAGGTTAGAGGCTGGTATGATGGGCGATGACTGTCTAATTGAAATCGTTTGCGTGTATGATTGATGCATAATGTGCGATGCCTGTTCACTTGAACTCGCTTGCATGTTTGAATTAAGTGTGCTGCGCCTGCAATTTGTTTGCATGTACTTGAATTCGTTTGCATGTGCACATAATTTCGCGTGTTATAATTCCTAGTTAGATACGCATTGCACCGTAGTAATGGCAGGTAACTGCTCCTTGTATAATCCCCTTTATGTTGTCCTGCAAAAACTGCGGCTCACTGCTTCCAAAAAAAGAACGATCAAATTTTTGATAGGCAATTTTGAGTTTGCTTCTGCTATTTGTTGCACTACAGGCACGTTGCCGAAATAACAACGCCTCCATATTCCCATTCTTCTGGTTTTTCTCCGAAAAACGAGGCTATTACTATTGTCTTGTCTATGGCCTTCTGACTTTTATTAACTCTGAATGGCATTTGTTAATATCCCTGGGATTAACAAATTGAAAAGAAAAGAAGCGTTAAAAACTTGCCATGAGAGCAAGGCCTTCAGTAAAGAACAACTTTATTTTCATGTCGGTCTAACCCTTATACTTGACCTTACGTCTACGGAATTGGTCGTTATCACAACTTCAATTGCCTTATCGTCTAAGTGGCCGTTTAAAACATGTTTGGCTCCATGAACAGCCTACTGTCGCATCAGATTGGACGACTTAGTAGTTATTGACTCGCGAACAGCATGCCGCGATTTGCCCCGCCATAGATCAGCAGCCCTACAAGGTATATCCAATTTCGTATACCGAAGCCATTAGCTGTTAAATTGCACACAGAAATGCAAAGTTCGGCGTGGCTACACCGTACCATTTGGAATGTATTTTGGAAAAACCTTCGGGGTCCGAATGATTTCCAGCATGAGCGCGTGTTAACACGCGCTCGGGTGGCCGGCTAGATACCCTGCGCTCGAGTGGGGTCAATTTGATGCCCCTCCCTGAGATCTCGGGAACTGAGAAAGCTAGAAACACCAAATTTGCAGGGTGTGTTGACCTGTACGTGATCTCACTTAGGTCAAAGTTTGAGGTAACTAGGTCATGGCTTTCGGGTCAAATAAGGTCAAACAAAGTCAAATTCCAGGTCAGTCTCCCAAGTATCCCCAGAACCTAGATAGCTGTTTCTAAGCAAAAGGTCACGCGCCCAGTTAGGGTCAGTGACCTTGTTTGACCTTTTGAAGCTCATGGTAGGAAAAATCATGACAGACTGCTCTGAGTTTTGCTTTGAATAAGCGACAAAGGTTACATTATGCAGTATGTTTCAAAAACAAAATGTTGAACTGGGTCATTTTACGTCAATTACCTATTTTGGCCTCCAAGAAGTCCATGGAAGACGTAAAATGCGGTTCTTGCTATCAATAAACTCGAAATGAGCACCAGAAACTATCCCATTCAGCAAGCCCTGGAGTTACAATACAGGCTGGTTTGACCTTGGACTGTCCTTCATACCTGATCTTTGGTCAGCGTAATTTGTTCATTCAATATTTGCGCTGCCTAAGAAATCAGCGGAGAGATGTATGGCTTCGTCTAACACTCCGTTGTTGCATGAGATTGAAGGATTCCATAGAAATTGCCTTCGATGAAGCCATGTCCTCCTTTTGACCTGCCATAGGTCAGCAACCTGACAAGGTACATCTAAATTGTGTAGACTCAACGATGCGCTGCTAAATTGTCTACAGCTATGCAAAATTTGACGCGGCTACGCCATGCCGTTCGGAAACCATTCGGAAAAACCTTCGGGGGGTCAATTTGACCTCTCCCCACCCGAGCGCGTGTTAATGTGACGGGGTGCTTGTTGTCTTTGATAAGTGCGTATATTCCTCGTTTCATGCTGGAGGCTGGGCGAAGCAGTTGATTTGTGTGAATGTTTTTTGTTTAGTTATAGTTATCTGAACGGCGCTAATGGCATGCAGGAATCGCAGGACATCGCTGTGATACCGGGGCTACCTAGCCAGAAGCCGTGTCTTTCGTTAACCACCAGCGTGCGCGAAGTGTATTTGTGCCCAATTGTCGGAGTACCGGGTTGTAGCCCAGCGCGTCTTTGACTACCGCTTGACATGCGGCAACTGTGGGCGTTCCCAGGTATCGCACGTATATATGTATATATATATATATATATATATATATATACGCATGCATGCTTTATTTAAAATGACCGCTGACTCGGCATTTATGAAGCGTCGTTCGAGTTTCCGGGCATTTGACAAAGCATTATCGTTTAGATCGTAAATAGCTCGTGTAACATCACCCATATATTCGTCAATCTGCTTATTCTTACGTTTCGAGGTTTTGTCTTATTGTCGGAGAAGTCTTAATTGCACAAGAAAAAGTTTTGAGTTCTTAAGGATGAAAATTGTGCGTTACTATATGGTATGTGCGTTATAACATCTTTTAGTAAGTGGAAGACAAATTATGTGTGGCCATTTGAAGTGGGACAAAATCCTACCCTTACTTTGATACATGTAAAAAACACCCAAAATGAAAACACTACAAAGACACCAACACATTGCACACAATACATCTAAATTATACACCGCCTACCACCAAATTACTCAAGGGTTGTGCAAGATTGTCTGTTTAGGACTGGAGAGAGTTCGAAAATAAGCGGCCTCTCCCAAATTTGAAGGCGTCTTCTGTCATTGCACGCCTGAAGAGTGTCGATGTTTTCCGTCGGTTGTCGCGTCAACTTCCTGTCGGAGGACATCTGCTCCAAGGGTGCCCCGTCACTTACGTGATTGGAAACCTCTCGAGCACATGCGAATTTTTAGGTAGAACGGGGGTAGCTGAATTACTTTTGTTCGAAGAAAAAACGTTGTGGCTCTTTTTTGGCGCATTGAGACCAGTACCAAAAGAAACATGCTCAGCCCACCTAACACATTTAACTTTTTCAGCAATACTGTCTCCCGGTTGTGCATGCAATTGGTTGACTATTGGAGCTTCCCGGTCGCATCGACTGCAGGGGTCTTTCTGTGCCCGTCGTGCTTGCCTGCAAAGCGCATTAGGTTACTAGCAGACAACCTACAGGTTACAGTCTATTCAGAACAAATTTAATTATCATGGCCACGTGGTTTTTAAGTTAAACAATGCTGCCAACAGGCGATGATAAGTCCCGCTAGTTTCTGAGACCTGCTAGAATATCACCAGTCACGTGCTTCATAATAAGCCAGCTTGAAATGACATCATGAGCAAACGCTCAATGGCTTAGTGGGTTGGTTTATTGCCCTTGTCGGCCACCTTTTCT